AAAAAACTTTGCTGTAAGCCATTGGTCCTCCAGGTGGTTCGTTTGTGATAAACAATCCAAGACAGAAAAACCACTTCAGATGTCATATTATGCCAGTCAGCAACCTCCCACAATAACATTGTACCTTGGCTTAGGGTGGCATTTGAACTGGTCAGTAAGGGGCCCAATATACTCTGAGTCATGGCACCACTAAAGAAGGCCCATCCCTTGTACTCATTCACCCGAAAATCTTTAAAGATTGCAAGGAGACAAGGCTTTGGAAAGTCATTTGCTAGGCTAATTATGGTGATGGGCTGCCTACTGATAAATGAATAAGATGTTAATGAAGCTTTGACATGCTCACTCATGAGAGAGCCTTAAATGTGACTCTTATTTGTGGCAGATTAGCTGAAAGTAGAGAAAGAGAGAGAGAGAGAAGCCAAGACCAGACCAATTCATGGGATTGCAGTGTGCATCATGCTGGCCAGATTTTCCTAATTACCTCTGCTGGTGCCGCTTCCCCTAATAACTATAGCTGGATGGCATAGCTTGCTCAGGCACTGGAGGGGCTGGCCTTAAATTATCAGTTATTTGAGGACTGTTGCCCTTCAAACAAGCCATGCTGCTCAGGTTCAGATGACATGGCGAGCTGTACCGGTGAGAGTGATAAAGGGAGGCCAGCTGCTCACTATTCTCTAACCTTCATGTATGTCTAACAGCTAGCAGCAGACCAGATTGAGGGATGTGGCAAGACAAAGGGTGGTGGGAACCTAGAGTGGAGCTTTGCTGGTGAGTACAGAACATGAAAAAGCCTTAAAAAAAGAAGCGTCCATTAGCAAGGGAAATGGAGGATGCAGCCAACAAGTCCATCAGCGAGAGAAGGATAAGCTTGTGTTAGGCCACATGTGATTGGCATGTCCAGGGACTGTAAGAAGCCACTGCAACTTGTAATCATGGTGTGATTATGCAGAGTGCGATTATGTATCCTCTCTCTATATGAGGATGCTCATCAGCCAAGACAATCAATTCAAGAAAACATAGAAGTCAGATTAAAAGCAATTTGAGTATAGAGGGTGGAGCTGGATTCTCTCTCTTAATTTGCAAACCTTGGTTTCCCTGAAAGAACTGGCTGTGTTATTTTTCCTATCTGCAAGGACTCAATACCAATAAAGAAAATGAAATAAAAGAGGCAGTTAAGAAAATCAAACAGAAGCTGGGTATTTCTTTCTTCTTCTTTACTTGGATTCCTACATGGCTAGTATGGCAACCATTTTTAAGATTATTCGCACTTATACATAAAAGCTAAAATTTGAATGTTCATTCACCAAGTCAAGCCATTGCCCCCTGCATAGAGATCACATTTTTCAAAGCAGTTCTTATATGTTTTCCTACTGGATAACTATGTTGCAGTAGCCCTTTTCTTCTGTTGGTTATGTGGACTCAGCTCGCAATTTAATCTGCATTTGAAGTACAGTGTCTTCACCAGATTAAATGCTTCTGTGAAAAGCTTCCCTAGCTTACTGGATCTCATGAACATCCAAACACAGCAACAGATCCAAAAGCTGCAGGTCTGAGTAGTCCAGGAGGCTAAACCCCCGAATGACTCTTGAGTCAATTTCTTCTGACAGTCCCCATTATATCTTCAGAGGTTGTTGGAACCGAGCTGGTTTAAAAGGTGACACTAAGCTAATTTCCTGCTCAATGAGGGCAGGATATTTCTAGTCATTTCTAGCTAGTTTGGTCACTGCCTGAAAAGAGCAATTTTTTCGTTTGAATTTATGCTGCCCGCTGTTCTCTGATTTAACTTAGAAAGTGGGGGAACCATGTCTGAACTATCATTTGCAGAAGCATGTGTATGCATTAGCAACGGTAGCGCTGCATGTATCATTCCAGATTTATTTTAAGATTCTTGATTTGAAGCGGCTTTTAACCAGCAGAAGGTTTGTGGCCATCTTTTCTAATTTTTCATTTTAATATATGACCTCCATAGCCCTAATTTTATTAGAGGGCTCCAGAAAATAATTGATGCCAGTGAAAGAAGAAGAGTTGTGACAGGAGGAAGGCTGCGCTCATTTCCAAACTCTGCAGTCAGTAGCTTAAGAACTCAGGGGAACCATCCAAGACCCACAGCATGGCTTCAAAGCACCAGTTAATACTGTCATATACAATGAAATGTGCATAATCCTCTTCTGTTTTTATCAGAAAACAACTGGCTTGCATTACGAATTTCAAAAGTCCCAGGTTATTAATACAGCTGAGGCAAACTGCCCACCAAGAGCTGTCTTCTTCCACAGTTAACAAATGACCTCATTGTGGTTTTGATCTGTTGGAGTTCATGAGACCATGGATTTCCAAGATTTCTCTTGGAGGATATTCACTCCACGATTAGGTATTTATGTTCCTCTCTGGGGTGCCTGGCTTTTATGGTATAAGCCTATTTTGGTGCATTGCCACTGAAGAAAGTGAGTCGAGAGCCATGTTCGGGAACGGGCCATGACTGCATGCCTGTGCAATATGCCAATATTTGTGTGAAATGAAATAGCTGAAGGGGAAATGGCTTGCAGACGCTGGAGCCATGTTCCTTGATAGGCTACTGAGCTTCCCTGGATCTCGTTGCATCAACTCCTGCCCTTTCTGTGTTGCTTGTGGCAGTTGCTAGTGCTCCAGCCTTGGCTGCTACAGTTTCTTACATGTTTGTGTGTGCATAAGGAGAGCTGGTGTGTAATTTATAGCCAGTGTAGCTGGTAGAGATACTTTTTAGCAGATGTACTCTTGAGATGGAAGGTTTAGGACTATGTTGGACTTCCACACATTTCGGCTTAGGACACAATGCTAAACCCTAGTTTAGAACTACACAGATGAGCTTGAGCAAATCTCTGGTTTCTGCGCTCCTCACTTCCGCTCCTCCTTTGGTGCAGCTGATGAGACGTATCCATGACTAAGTTAACTGTGCTTTGTTGCCACATCTAACAAGGACAAGCTGTATTTAATTTAAAATGTAGTTTATTCAGACAAGCAAGACCCAACTCATGGCTTCTGAGCCTGTCTAGTTTCAATATACTATAGCTGAAACTAAGCATAGTTCCCTGTTCAGAGGTAACAACAAACTGTGGTTAGCTGAAAACAGGAAGCCCATGTTTCCACTCTCTTTTTCTGTTGTGAACAACAAGAAGAGAGGGGAGTGGGAAATGCTTGAGCTATGGTTTAGAATTGCATCCAACCTGGGCCTTTCATCAATGCTGATCTAGAATGTCACTTTCTAGATACAGAAAGTATAAACAACATCTTTGTGACTATCCTTAGGTATGTTGCATCTTGCACTTATTTTGGTGTCTCAGATTTGGGGACTTAAGCATGGGCTCTTGTTTATCTGGTTTGATATATATATATATAGAGAGAGAGAGAGGGAGAGGCAGAGAGAATTTTCTGACTAGGCATTTATAGGCACATGGCAAATTCTATAAATATCCCAGGTGAAACATTCATTGATTTAAGTATCTTAAACCTAATGTTTTAAGATAGTTAAATATAACCTATTCCTGAAGACTTGGAATATACTTTTCTTATAGGTTTCTTCTCTATACCAAGCCCCCTGACCTGGTCACAAGCCCAGCCTATTCAGAAATGTGGCCATGCAGTGATGTGCTGGCTGAGTTGTATCGGTGTCTCCTGCAAAGCTGCCCGTGAGAATTGCCCCTTTGCTTTGGTTGTGTGTGGTACACAGTGTACATGAATAATGCCACCAGGAGCTGCATTCTTTATTATGGGCCATGCAGGGTAGCTAAGTGCTTCTTAAAAATGAGGTAGATGGGATGATAAACTGCTGCTTGTCCTGGTTCTTAAAAATGTTACAGAGTGCATTTTGTTCTTGCAGATAGTTTCTTGCGCAATGGTCTGGTTTTGTGCATTCTGAGGAACATTCAGTGCATGTGATGGAAAAAGACTTGCGTGACAGCAGAGCATTTGTCTCCTAGAAAAGAACACGATGTCCCTGAGCATGTAGCACTTTGAATAATAACCATATTGATGTTTGTTGAGCCCTGAAGAAGGGATGAGATAGAGCATTTGACCAAGTGTGATCTTGGGCTCTTGCAGCCTATAGATAATGGACCCCTACCCTTACTCCAATCTCCTACACTGTTTTACAGAAAATGGAGTCCTGGGTTCACAGCCATGTATTGGTACTTTATAGCTCATCAGGCTTAATGTTGGGGTCCGCTCTCATCGCTGCCTGCTTGTCCTCCTCAATTTGTGAAGATGCTTCTACTCCATGACCCCACCTATCTGTTCCCCCTCTTCTAAGTTTCACACATACTGATTGGTCTTGGCTACAAAGATTGCTTTCATTCTAGAATGGGTTCTCAAAAACATGGTTCCTGAAAAACTTTTTTACTCATTACTTGGGAGCAAGTAAGTACTTCAAGTTTGCATTGTTCTCAAGTCACAAATGCTCAAAGAAAATAGTATTTGGCCCTCCTTTGGAGTGAACCCTGCCTAAAAGAGAACAGAAACAATTCCATGCTAATGTTGAACAGCCTCACTTAAAACAAATATTTGATTTAGATCTTGTTCAGCCAGATTCAGGGTGAAAAGTATTGGATGAATACTGGTGTTCCATTGGAGTAAGATGAATATGCAGCAGAATCCAGAAGATGACCACCTCATGTTTACTGGTTTCTGCTACTTGTGTGTTGACTTGCTGCTGTATCTAACTGGTACTGTGGACTGTGCCTGAGTTTACCTGGAAGATGATTAAGGGATGTTGGTTACTTTGTTTTTTTGTGAAATCATAAACTGTCCTTCAACCAGCCTGTCCAAGGTTGGGAACACCAAAATAAATGAAGCTGGAACCATGCAAAATTGGAAATAACACATAATAAGCAAGTGAAAGCAGCAGATTGAAAGAACTAGAGCTCAGATCTAAAAAGCCCAGGACCAACAAAGCAGGTACCAGGTGAGCCTCTACAGAGGAAGTTCCATAGTCTCCACCACTGAAAAAGCCTTCTCTCTAATCATTGTAGGCCCCATCTGACGGATTATAGGACCATTCAGAGGAGAGTCTCGCTTGCTGATCCTAGCACATGGGCAGGCTGACGTGGTGCTTCTTCAGGTAAAGAGAGGTGCCATGTTCTAGGCTCATCTGTGGTGAGAAACCTTAAATAAAGGATGTATAAGTGTGCACCATACACACACCTCACCACCTCTCCCCCCACTTACTATAAGTGTGTAACAATTCACACTTACCCATTTGTGTTTATGTTTTTTAATTGTGTCCTTCCCTAAATTCTTCCCTCTCTCCTGTCTTTTTAAACATTTGCTGTCTATACTTTATTATTATTATTATTATTTTATTATTATAACATTTCTATGCCGCCCCTTGCCGAAACCTCAGGGCGGCTTACAACATGATAAAATACATTGAAATACAATAGTACATAATAAATTACCATTAAATATAAAAATACAAAAAATACATTGATTTACAAATATAAAATTATCAGTATAAAATAAAAATATAGGAGGAGAAAGAGAAGGAAGAAGAAGTTGCCCTGGCCAGATCATATGTTTTAACAATTGAAATGATGTTTAAATAAAAAGGTCTTTACCTGGCGCCGAAAACCAGTAACGACGGTGCCAGGCGGACCTCTTTGGGGAGTGAATTCCATAGGTTGGGTGCCACCGCAGAGGGAAGAACTAAATGTTCTGCTTACTTGCCTCTGCGCAAGTGTGCATGGCCCCAGTCTGAGTTGGGGTCATGGCAATCTGCTAATGGTGGGATTTAATTTTCCCCTCTTGCTTTTGTGCTGAAATTCCAGCCCCCAGGGGTGGGTTAACGAAAGAAAAAAGTGTCTCTGGTGGGAGCCATGGAGATGCCTACAAAAAGTAAGTCTAGTAACTGTAATCTAACTAGAGAACATTGTTATTAAGTGAACTGGAAATTATTATTATTACATTACTGTATCATACATACAGTAAACATAATTTGTCCCTTAGCAAGGCTTCCTAAGCAGTGTGGCATTCCCACCATCCCAAAACAAAACAAAAACAAGAGCATCGCAGCTCAAACATTCTGGTCTGGGGGTTTTATACATGGACATGTATATGGTCAAAATGTGGACTGTACCAGTTCAAGCTAGCCTTTTTGACTGTTCTTTCATTTACAAAGATGCCTGCAGCAAGCAACAACCAAAGCTAGAATTTTAGCAAGAAAAGTTCACATGCACGTTTCTACTTAGAAATTTCCTTCTTACCATTATAAAAAATGTAGTGAAGCATTCAGACATATGATGTTCCACCTAGTCTGAAATGATGCAGTCCATTTTCTGGTTTTAATCCAACTAGATGTGTAGACCTGGCTTAAGTTCTCTAACATGAAATGAGTGGGTTCAGGTTACAATTACACAGATGGTGAGAGAAACTCACACCACGCATGCTCAGAGGCAGTCTATACTTCTTTATTAACTCAGTTGACCAGCACAGGTTTTAGCAGTATACCCTGGCTCCACTGAAGCCTTGCTTTTCAGTGAACTTATTCGTCACTGACATGCAACTGGCCTTCTGAGTATTGGGGTTTGGTTTGCACCTGTCCAAGCAGGCCAGGGAAAAAGGGTGAGGGAATGGGGCCAGTTAAGCCCATCAGATCCTTGAAGTCTGGTAGACTTGAAAGAAAGCACAATTCCCCTGAAGTCCATAGCTTTTTACTTCTCCACCAGCATCAGCTGCGTGATTCAAGCAACGTGTAGTGCAATGCAGTGCTCCTGCTTCCTCTGATTAGGTAGCTATACATGGTTCAAAACAAGCTTACATCAACTGGCTGGGCCACTCCAGAGTCCAGCTGTGAACTTTGAGGACATGGCCTGGAGTTTATTGGTTCTATCCAATTGCTCGCATTCCTAAGCGCTTCTGTCATTCTTGTTTAAACAGTGGCCGAGGGAAAAAATTTGATTTTTCTCTAGCTAAGTGTCTACATTTCAGTCTGCCTGATTTACTGCAAGGCGTATCATTTTCTGTTGGGTTTTCTGCTGTGGCTAGCTGCTTGCCGAGCGGAAGAGTGAAGTTGCTGCTCAGATGCCACCATGTGAGGTGAACATCTTTGATGGCTAAAAATGCACTTGGAGCATCCCAACCTCTGCATTTTTACATGCCTTTTTCTGTATTACATGGAGGCTTTCACTGCTTTCCCAGCATTAATGGGGTTGTGAATTCCACTTGGTCTTACTAACTTTCTCATTAATAGAAGACAGTGTTTTCATTCTGTTGCTATCAGGCACCTGAGAGGACTTTAAAATCTCATTTATCCAACACCTGTGGGTAAAATTAGAGCCTCTTCGAAGGCCATGCTAGTATGGCTCAGCAGCACTGCGCAAGGGGGCACAATGGAGTAGTTTGGCAACCTCTGTCAAGGCTCCTTCATAATATGACTTTGCACAGTTTGATGTTGGGGCCATCACTGCATTGCATAATGTTAGTGAAGTTTGCTGATGAAAGTAAGGGAAATATCCACCTCAGTAACATTTCCAACAGAGGCTTCTCCACCCAGTGCATGCTACTGCTGTAGGTCGCTTTACACATTTCCTATTTTTAAGTGTGCATCTCAGATTTTTTAAACATACTCCTACAAATAAATAATGTGTGAATGTGCCAGACGGGTTTTGTAGACATGTTCCACATCCAAGTGCACTCGTCTGCGAGCCGTGTTTTGACACCTGCCCTCCCTGTTGAAGAGACACTTGTCACATTTGGAAGCCTTAGCCTCGAACTTCAGAGAGCGGAGCTGTCCTGCCAAGGACAGGACTTTTTGGAGGGCTTCATTCATAGGGTGCCCATCCACCAGAGATGACCTGGCAGCACATAATAACCACAATAGCACTGCACCACGTGGCAGAGCTCTCACTAGGGCTGATGTGACGCATATTTCGCCGGTAGTTGTGAGCTCCTGCTGCCTCTCTTCCATGAGAAACTTTGTGGCTGGGTGAGAATATTTCTGATTGATGACTCAAAATCTTGAACTCTCTTCTTGCCAGTTTTAGTGAGATTATGAGGACATTTGATGCATGGAAATACAAAGCTTTTAAAAATGTATGTGTCGCTTTGTTAGTTCTCTGCTTCTTCCTTTGTCTCATTTTGGTCAATTTTGCAAAAGGAAGTCAAGCAAATGCATATATTTATGCATTTGGCTGGATGAGCAATTCAATTTGACTTTATATGGTTATGAAGAACATCATTTCCCTCACATTTGCACTGAGTTAATAATGCAGAAATTGTAAGCTCTCATTCTTTAGCAGTGTCCTGTTTTCCTCATTGTGCAGCTTTATTACTGGGGTAATCCGGAACATTTTTTGAGAGGCAGTATTCGCTTGTTATTTGTACAGCCAAGTACAATGTTCTTACCTGTGGTTTCTTTAACCCCTCTCTGGTTTCCATTTCTATTTTTCTTCCTTTCTTTCTGTGGTTGGATCTGGCATTGCTACATGTCTGGGGGCAATTTAAACAGAGATCCTTGCAAAAACCAGTTCCAGAAACAAGGAGCCAAGCTATAGAGGCACGGTTAGAGTAATGCCGGCACTGCCAGAGTGGTGAAAGGACCAGTGGCCCCTCCTAAATCTTAGCTAATAGCTGAGCCCAGTGCCAGATTTCTAAACAGTGTTTTTAAACAGAATACTCTTTCCCTTAGCTGTGCTAATACTGACATTTCAGTTACTGGTGAAGTTTCTCTTGTTCTAATGTTTCCCTGCAGCAGGTGCTGCAGAACCTTCTTCCATGTTCACAGAGGGACAAAAGGCTTTTTCTGATCTTTTAGTGCATGCATGTGCAATAAGTTGACTATAGCAATAACGTGGGTCACATATTGTAGTTATGTTTACGTTACTGTATACTATAGGATATTAAGTCTGCAATAGCATTATGTCTAAAAACCAATGTACCTACAGTACAGTTTCTTAAATCAAAAATATTTTATTGATAAAACATGCTCATCATCATCACCATCTCCAAATTGGCCTAATTTCAATATGAGGGAGGGAGAGAGGCAGAGGAAAGGTACAGCTGGTGGAGCAAACAAAACACACCCATCTTATATGGGTGTGGTTTGTGGTGCCCCAAAACAATTACTGTACCTCAGAGTTCACAGATAACCAGATATATAAATATACAGTACAGTCATAGTAATGAAAAAGTTTCAAATAAAGACTTCGAGAATCACAATGCCAAACTGAGACAGACACGAAGTGAGTGACCCCTGCTGGAGAAATAGATAGGCCAATCGACATGCATGCGTGTGATTGATGCAGGATAGCATCTGCAAAGCACAAGACAGAGGCATGCCTCGGAGATACTGCAAGTTCAGTTCCGGACCACCACAATAAAGTGAACATGACAATAACAAGAGTCACGCATCAATCTAACAATTGCGGAGCAATATCTGCGAAGCACAATAAAGTGAGGTGCAGTAAAGGGAGGTATATCTGTATTAGTTCTGAAGCTGCCAAAAGGACACAGGGAATCCATTTACTCTTCCATTAATTTCCAGGAAGTAGGTAAATAATTTAAAGGCACTTGTACTTAAATGAATGTTAAAGATTGTTTTGGAACAATATTTATTTGTATAATAACCTTCTTGCAAAGCAACTCCTGGACTTTGCCAAAATGTATGTTTTAAAATAAGCATAAGCTTATTATACTACCTGCAATTAGACAAATTAGACAATTCCTTATTAAGGAAACATTGCAGTGACTAATAAACCTGAAACCAATTTTTTTCTGAAGAAGAAACTTCCAGGTTTTTGCAGAACAAGATGTATCCTGAGATGTGACAGACATCAAAGTGGCAATCCATTGATTAAGCATTTGCTGGTGGTGTCAACAGCAGTTTCTCACATTCCCAAATGCACCCACAAGTCCCAAAAAAGTAGAACTTGTGTGTTAGATGTGAAATACTTGCTATCAAACCTGCTAAGTGGGTCTGCAAAAGAAGAAAAATACAGGAAACCAAGATTCAGTTCATACGAGCATTCTAATAATGATAATGATAATAATAATTTCTCCTAGGCAGTGTAGGAGTCATTGAAAAATTCTTTCCCTTGCATCTGGCTCCACACTAATTCACTTCGT